CGCTCATCCGCCCTTGCTCGAGCCAACTCCTTCGAGAGAATAAAGCCCCTAGCACCGATCTCCTCGAGTACCTCTCTTCGGGATTTGCAACAAACATATTCCTCGATCCTCTTCTCGTGATCGAGGGCCTGCTTCAACTCAGCTTGGGAATCAATAGCGTCCTTCACATGAATCGCCATCTCCTGATTAGCCTTGGTTCGACTTAATGTTGCTTCAGCCCGGGCATCGATTATCTCAGCCCTGACCTTCGAGAGATCGGAATCCAGCTTCATGATAATATCCGCTTGAATTGTAGCATTGTCACGAGCCAAGCGGAGTTGGGCCTCGAAGGTAGGAACCTTAGCGAAGGTGCCTCTCTCCTCTAAAGCTTGGGCCTGCACCTGAGCCCTCAGTTCACCGCAAGCATTCCTGACTCGGTCGGCTTCGCCCTTAAGGTACTCCAAAGCCTCCATCTTTTTCTGCAGCTAAGATAGGCAAAAGGGTTAACCTTAAGGATCAAAAAGAGCGAAGCGCGTACTATGAAAGGTTACCTGTTCCGTCAAATAGCTTTCATAATTCGAGCTCCGATATGCCTCATATCGCTAGTGCATCAACTCAACATCCTTCTCCTCACTAAGGAGCCTAAGAGACTCACTCTCATCTAGAGCTTTTCGGAGCCTGGCCCCATGAAGGAGTAGCTCAGACCTAAGCCTATCAAAGGCCTGTAGAAGAAAACTCGATAAAAAGGAGGACGTGAAATACAGAAGGACTGCGCCGAAACTCACCATGAAGTGAAGCCGGCGGACTTCCTCAAAGGCGGAGCACACTCCTATTGGTCCTGCCCCTTCGGCCCCGAAAGAGACAACCTCGGGCAAAGCATATTCACTCGGAGGAACCACCGTTCTGGAATCAAATGCTCCGGGAACAGCAGGCTCGGGTGATGTCCTCTCCTTGAAGACACGGACCCGTTGAGCCACATTAAAAGCTCCATCATGTTGCGGGTGCAAATTCCGTTTATCGCCATCGTCCCTCAGCTCGGAGGCCGACGACTCCTTCCTCTCTACGGATGAGCACAGCCTCGCCCCAAGGAACCGCTCGATACCTGCAACAGCAAAACCGGTACAAAAGAAAGATGGAAATGTCATCTCAAATATACGAAGACCAAGGTAGGAGCAGCGTACGCGCATACCCTGGTATTTCGCTTCCCATCTATCACGGGACACAGCTCACCACCTACGTTCATCGCAAGTCGAATGGTTGCCAACTTCCGGACCCAGTAGGGCAGATCGAGAACTTTTCCCAGCGTCCATGAAGTCGCTGCAAAAAAGGGAAGGAGACACAGTCACTCAACTAGTTTTCGCTATAAGCAAATCTAAGGGAGCATGAGACACTCCACTCACGCGCGTAATTCTATCCCTCAGGAAATGGCATGAGCTTCGCAGGGATAATGTCAGCTGATCAGACCCGGATGAATCAACTGACCCACTCGTGATCCCCATCTTCTTCATCATCGACAACAAAGGGCGTAGACGAACGGCATCGCAAGGTTAACAGGCCTCGGTGATGAAAGGGCCGGTACAGCCTGACGAGGTGGCTGAGCGTGAATTCAAGACCAGCCTTCTCCGCAAAGAACCTTATCATCAGCACCACTCACCAAAACGACGGATGTATCTGCGCCAAAGTAACCCGATACTTCAGGTAGAAATCAAGCACGACCCTATCAAGAGGGCCAAATGCGAAAGGATATAGGTATACGCTCAAGAATCTATCATCAGAGTCCGTAATACTCTACTCCAGAGAAAGCACCTGCAGCGTTATCCCCTCGCTCCATCTACAGTATCTCATCACCATCTCCAGATGTTCCTTTCTTATCAAAGACACAGTCTTCAGAGCGAACTCCTGCGGATCCTGAATGTTGGGAGTGGAACTCCCCCCTCCCTGTCGGGCCGGCCCTGAAGTAGCTGCCATGGCTATAGCAGAATTGACAGACTAAAGCAAGGACGTGCGCCAACACTTTTTGCGCCTGAAGAGACACAGGACCCGATGCCAAGGCGGAGGGATAGCTATCTAAAATAATTAGGTCTCCCAAAGAAGCAAAAGCCACCCCACATACATGCGGGAGAACAATAGCAATTCACCTATCGAGAGTAAACCCCGGGAGGCCAACGGCCTCAGCACAGATCCTGGGGTGGAACCCGACCCCAGAGATACCCATCGACAAGAAGTTAGGCCTCAAGGAGTCAACTGTATCTTCTCCAGTCTCGAGGTAGTGCCCGGCCTCGAGGATCTCCACCAAAAAAGAATTCAAGCTTCGGAAAGCCTTCAACGCCATCATAGAACTCGAGGTAATACCCGATCTCATGGTTTTTCTTTCTAAAACGAAGAGTAAGCACGCGAAGCTCCGATCATGAAGGCTCTAGGAGGGCTTGAGGCATTGACTAAGTATAGGCAACCCCTCAACGGAAGTCTATCCACTGCGCTTTAAAAGGCTATCTGCATCAAGTTCAGAGCAGACCCCCAGGTACCCGAAGCTGACCTTCGCTCAGGATACCACTCTCAAAAGCTCCAAAAACTCAGCGTACTATCCCCATGCAACTCGAAGGGCCCGACAGCTTGAGTTTATCAGATCAATTCAGGCTTGGCTCGAGGTACGACGATGGGCTCGAAAAAGAACCATGTCAATCTGCAGAGGATCGAAAAAAATGCTCGCATCCAAGTTAGATGTCAGCAGTCAACAACAAAGGAAAACATTCAAAGGCCTCGAAGCGCAGGAGAACATGCAACAATAGGGCAAAAATCGAAAACAGAAATCAAGGAAATACCTTTATATTCATAAATATCCATATACAACAACCCTCGAAGGATCCTTACATACAATTACAAAAGCCTGCAAGGGATTCTTACGCATAAAGGAAGAAACAAAAGGGTGCACACACAAGATAAAAGCCTAGAGGCTGGTCTACCTCCGAAGGTCTGCCTACCTGCAACAGGTGACTTCGGGCACACATCCTCAGAAGCCTCATCCCGACCTTCCACACTGATATCCCCAAAGGATAGGTCGAGCAACAAGGAGGGATGAAAAAATGCCATAGCTCTCCGAAGGTCGAGGACCCTCGCTGGCCAAGAGAACCTCGGAGAGACAGCGGACCATGCAAGCCTCAGTCCCGATTGCATGGCTACTTAGAGTCCACTTCTTGGGACATCTAGCCGTGCAAGCTACCAGCTCAGGGCAGAGCATTGGTGTATAATCTGAGCCCCCTTTTGAGCAGCCGTATATAATCCGAATAGCTTTTTACGAGCAAGGAAAGTTGACCCCCGTGTGTCATCATCTCGAGCAAACAAGGGAAGCAACAGCAGACGTAACAGTAACAGGACAGCATAGTTATGTTCAACAAAAGGAAGCTCCAGCAAAAGGCCACAACACAGCCTACGGGAGGTCTGCCAAACGGCTTTGAGGCCATGAGCCCCAAACATAATGTTCAAGGATAGAGGAAGATGATAAGAAGAAATGGGCAGATGAGACAACGAAGGTACTTGGATAGAAAAAACAACGCCAAAGCACCCCCATTTATAGGGGGTAGTGACACGGTCATTGAGGCTTTGGAAGATTGACCGGAAGATGCAATTCTGCATTCTCGAAGAATAGAATTGACGGCGGAGCATTCATCCTGGAGAGTGAGAATCGACAGTGCATTGAATGATGTCAAATACTCAAGTCCATGGGACGTTCCGGTTGCCGCAAAACTCGCACCACAGGTTGCATCATTGGTATGACGTCGTCATAAGAAGCTCATGGAGCCAGGTGTCAGAATCATTTCCCATCGCTTCGTTCTGGGAAACGCGGAGACTATCTGTATGCGGCAAAATTAAAGGACTTGATTTCTCGCTATCAAACCACTTCGGAAGAATACCTCGAGACCCCGAGGACGTGGAGCTGCGACCGAGTCTCCTCCCTCGGAGCTCGTCGGGGCCGACTCTAAGAAGACGAAGGTCGGGGCTAGAGTAGAAGGGGAAGTTCCCAAGGCACACAGCCAAGTCTGACAGAGCTGGCCTATCCAGGGCCTATGCCGAAGCGTCACGTCTAGCCGTCCCATCTCCATACTTTATAATTAACGCATATTGTACTATATCCGGGTTCCCCTTCTATATAAAGAGAGCCCACACTACTTTGTAAGGGGCTGATGTTGCTCCAACTATTCTTCACAAAATCAATAATATCTATCTCTCTCTCTTCTCTCTAACTTGCTCGTTATTATTAGCTCGAGGCCACTCTTAACGTTTATTACTTTCATATTTGTTCTTAATTTATTGCTAGGTATTGGCCATAAAGAGCCTTGCATGATCATATCTCAATTGTTATCCCATCCCCGACTACCCCCGATAGCTCGAGACCGAGTCGGATATCGTCCCCGAGGCTCCTTCATCGACCAGTCCGAGGCTCGGGCTACAAGTCTCTTGGTTCGATTACTGTCTCGTTTAAGCCTGAATCTCTTTCATTAAACTTCATACTCTTAGCATCAACTGTCCTAACAACTAGCATAAAAATAGATCACGTATTTTTAAAATTTCATTTACAAATTTAATTGTTGTTACCATTTTCATGGTAAATAAACTCTTATTTTGCCTAAGATACTTTCTTGTTAAAAACTTTTATAAGATATATTCATTTGTATATTTTCTTGGAAGGATACTTACAAGAATGAGGAAAAGGAAAAATGCTTTAGTAATGATTATGCACAAAAATGGAGGATAAAGCTTAAATTCTTAAAGCTAATATTAATCATTAAGAAAAAGAAAAACCTACACAAGCTATCAACGGCTTATACTAATAGTAGTCTCCAAAATTATAGTAACTTCTTGAAGTAGGAAGTAAATGAGCTTCCATGCCTTTAACTTCCTAAAGCAACACAATCTTTTGCAATAGCATTCGAGAAACAATTACTGATGGTTAATACCGGTGAAATTCATAACTTGTTTTTCTCTTCGCAAATAGGATTTGGATAGTACTTGTTGTCAATTCATTAGGTCGTTCCATAATGGGAAGAAAGCCGATCTTTGATCTTTTTCAATGTTGCTACAACATCAGTCATGTTCATCCTTTCACCAGGAGATTTAGCTATGCAATTCATGGCTAACTCCATAACTGATGCCCCACATTGCAACTTGTCACTTATGTTTTCTTCATCTAGTGTTAGTAAGTCACCATCTATGATTTGATCCAGCTTATCAGGAAGTGAATAAGCTTCTCAAATCCAAATCTCTCATGAACATTTCATCGATAGGTTTCTTCTTAGTAAAAGTTTCCAGCAACATGATACCATAACTATAAGCATCAGACCTCTTGGATATAAGGCCTTCCAGTCCATACTCTGAAAATGAAAATCAAATGTCAGTAATTAACTTATAATGTATTAATCAAAAACCTTGTTACACCTTAAATAAAAAAAACTCACCTGGAGCAATGTAACCAATTGTGGCAAAGGTTGTAGTTTGAGCAATGGATTCTTCTTTTGTTAAGAGTTTTGCAATGCCAAAGTCAGTCAGGTGTCCCACCATGTCTTTGTCAAGTAAGACGTTACTAGGCTTCAGATCACAGTGAACAACAGGTACCGAGTAACCATGATGGAGATATTCCAAAGCAGATGCAACATCAGCCATGATATTCAATATTTGCTTTATGTTTAAAAACAATCTTGAGAATATAGCAACTTGTCTAAGCTCTCATTTGGCATGTACTCAAGTACTAATGCTTTAAAATCCAACATACAACAGCTGCTAAAATCTTGGTGAGATTTTTGTGACGAAGATTCCACAAAATTTCACGTTCTTTATCAAAGGTTTGAAATGTACCTTCCATCTGCACATTGAAAACTTTAACAGCTACAATCATCCCATCTGTCAATGCCCCTTTGTAAAGAGAACCAAAACTTCCACTACCTAGCAAGTTATTTCCATCAAAGTCCTGAGTTGCTCTTTGAAGATCATAATAGGAAAATCTTTGTGGTGCTACATCTGGCAACCACTATTCATCAGCTTTGATTGTTTTATCGTGACGTCTCATCAACACGAAAACTATCACTGAAGCAAGGCCTACTAAAGCAATAACAGAAGAGACAACGACGATAAATATCACGATTTTTTTCTTTGATTTACCATGACAGGCCTAGACATGTATTTGAAGGTTACCACATAATCCTTCGTTTGACACGAAAGACTGGTAAGGGAGATCAACAAAAGGTCCTCCATTCGGAATTTCCCTGTGTAATTTATTGAATGAGACATTAAAGGAGTCTAGTTGCTTAAGTGCCTCTAATGACTTTGGAATAACACCAGTGATATTATTATATGAAAGATCCAATGCTTCCAAATTTATCAGTTCTCCAAATGTCTCAGGAATAGATCCTTCAATCCTGTTATGAGCGAAAGACAGTTGACTCAATTTCTGTAGACGTCCTATTGTTTTAGGAATATTACCTGAGATTTGGTTCCAGGAAAGATCCAGAAGTATCGCAGCCTTAAGGTTTCCAACTTCAAGTGGTAAAGAGCCATTGAAGAAATTAAAAGACAAGTTCATCTTCAAGATGTCTTTAAGGTTCCACAGACTTGAAGGTATGCCAGCGGTGAAGTTGTTGGAATAAAGATAAACCTCCCTTAGGGAAGTCACATTCCTCAAGCAACTAGGAATACTTCCCTGAATTTGATTTTGTGAAAGGTTTAACAAACCCAAGTTGGATAGCTCACACAAACTATTTGGGGAAGGACCACTTATTCTGTTTGCTCCAAGTGAAAACTGTTGAAGTTTTTTCAAAGAACTTATTGTTCTGGGTACAATGCCAGTCAAGTCATTGTCTTCCAGCTTCAAATAAGGTAAATTTCTCAAATTTCTGATTTCAATGGGAACATGACCCCTGAGGTTACATCCATCTGCCTCAAATATTTGAAGAGAAGAAAGATTGCCGATGGACTTTGGAAGCATTGCATTTAGGGGATTGAGAGACAATATCAATTCTCTTAAGTGTTTACAATTGGCCAAAGGAGTAATAAAGCTCAGTGGTGAAGATTCACTAGTAAAGGAGTTGCCTTGCAAGTTGAGAATTTCAATAAGTCTTAAGTTTCCTAGAGAGTCGGGAACTGAACCTGTGAGTTCATTTGCACTGAGTTCGAGAATGATAAGCTTAGACAAATTTGAGATAGAACTAGGTAAAAATCCATTAATGTTGTTTGCACCTAGAAAAATTCGTTCAAGATTGGATAATCTATGGCCTATAGCGGAAGGAAGATTACCTGAAATGTGGTTTTGTATGAGTGAAATAGATACAAGACTTGACATATTGAAGATACTAACATGGATCGACCCACTAAAGGTATTGAAATCCAACTTAAGCTGCAACAACTGTTGAAGGTTACCAATCTCATCTGGAAGTACACCTGCAAAATTCAGTAAGATTATTATCAGTAAAAGTATTTCAAGAACTAGAATTCTAATATCTTATCTGATTAAATATTATTCAATACCTGTTAGGTTATTGACTCCCAAATCAAGTACGTTAAGCATAGTCAAATTTCCGACCTCTCTTGGTAGAGGTCCTTCAAGCTTGTTGTCCCACATTGATAAAATTTGAAGTGATGAAATGTTAAATATGGTTAAAGGAATTGAGCCCGTTAATTTATTTCTTTCCATGCCCAATTGCTTCAAGTTATAAAGATGGCCAATCTCATCAGGAATTGTGCCTGTCAAATTGCTAAGCAGAAAGATTTTAAAAAAAATCATGAACTGATTTAAGTAACGTTGCTGGATTAGAAGTAATTTATCTCAAAATAAGATTAGAGCTGCCGATGTGCTCAATGCTACAAGTTGAGTTCTTTCCGGGGATAATTGGTAACTAAATTTCAAAAAGAAAAAGATACCTTGTAACTTGTTAAACCCAAGAGCTAAGATTTGCAGCAGATGTAATTTCCCAAGTTGTCTTGGAATTGCTCCAATAAAGTTATTTTGCAACAACAATAGGACTTGAAGTTTCGAGCATTCTGATATACTTCTTGGTATCTCTCCACTTAACATGTTGAAGTTAAGTCCAAGCCTTTGCAATCTTGGAAGGCGACGACACAAATCAGATGGAAGATCATCAGTTAAACCAGCATTTCTGAGATCCAAATATTCCAGTGTCGAGATGTTGAATATGGAGAGCACGTTAGCGCCATTGAGCTTATTGAATCCAATCCTCAACCATTTAAAACTCTGAAGAGTACGTGGCTATTCCCATAGGAATATTAGTGAATGTTACTGAGTTAAAACAAAATTCAGGAAACTGTTAGAAGAATAAAGAAATATATTAAATAGTAAAGAATCAGAAATATTCCGAGTCCACAATTTTCTTGTGCGTCCTTAAGGAATTTTAACCCCCTCACACGTTGCCAAGGTAATGGATTAAATCCTCCCAGGATAAAACGGAATAAACCTTCCTGCAACAGTGGCAATACAAACTGCAGGATACCAACGAACTCAAAGAACGGAGCAAAATCACACTTACGAATTTGAGAGAGAGAGACTGCGAATTAGGATGCAGTATATTCAGAAAGAAAGAAGTTCT